GTCTCCAGTTGTAAGCCCAGGTTGTTACTGTGCTTCTGACCGACTGGCTATAGATCAGAGGTTCCCAAGACCTCCTCCACGGGTTCAATTAATTTGCTAGAGCAGCTCACAGAACTCATAGAAACATTTTACTTGGTAGATCACCAGTTTATTATAAAAGGATATAACTGAGGAACAGCCAGATGGAAGAGACGCTTAGGGCAAGACATGGGGAAAGGGGCGGAGCTTCCATGCCCTCTCCAGGTGCGCCACTCTCCCTGCACCTTCACGTGTTCACCAACCTATAGTCACTCCGAACCCGTCCTTTTGGGTTTTTACGGAGGCTTCATTACACAGGCATGGTTGATTAAATCATTGGCCATTAGCGATTGATTCAACCTCCAGCCCCTCTCTCCTCCCCAGAGGTCGGGGGGGCGGGACTGAAAATTCCAACCCTCTAATCACAAAGGTGGTTCTCCTGGCAACCAGCTCCCATCCTTAAGTGTGATCCAAAAGTCACCTCATTAACATAACAAAGACATCTTGATTGCTCTCATCACAGGAAATTCCGAGAGTTTTAGGAGCTCTGTGCCAGGAACAGGGAGAAAGATCAAACACATGTATTTCTTATTATAAATCACAATATCACACAGTTGGAGACAAGAAGGTTTGGAGAAGGGGCATGTGGAAGTACCTAATATACCTAAGGGAGTGCACAGGAAGAGTATGTGGATCCTTGTGTCTCTGCCAATGGCCACTGGGCAGTGTGCAAGGCAGAGCAGGAGCGGTGGGTGTCAGCCAGCTTCTCTCTGTGGTGCAAGGGACGCATGAAGGCAGTGGCCATGGTGGAAGGGCTGGAGACTCTGCACCAACAGCAAAGGTTTCGTCTCACCAAGGCTGATCTCGATATGGACACCACTGAATGCCCATCCCACCAGCAGCAGAGACCAATGCTGAGCCCTCAATGTGATGCCATTCTTCAAGGGACCAGCCAGCCATTTGGTGGCAGGTTGATAACATTGGACTCCTGCCACCCAGGAGGGGCAGTAATTGGTCAGACTCTGGATTTGGATTTGCCTTCACTGAGCACAGTGTCACTGCCAGCAATCTGAGGGCTCACAGAACACCCAATTTATCGGCATGGTGTACCACACAACAATGCTTCAGAGCAAGGGACTCTTTTTCCAAGGAAGGAGGTGTGACAATATGTACACGACTCTGGGAGTTGCTGGTCCTGCCATATACAGCATCACCTAGAAGCAGCCAGAGCCTGCTGAAGGCTCAGCAACAAGGCTAGCCCAAGGAAAACACCCAGTTGGGTTGGAGAGCATTATTCCATGATGTGACAAATGCACTGAATTAACGGTGGTGCTGTGGCTCCAGTGGGCAGAATACATGGTGCTGTGAACTAAGGAGTGGGAGTAGGATGGGCTGCTCTCCCCATCATTCCCAGTGACCCATCTGGGGAATTTGTGCTTCCCATCTCTGAAATCTTAGGCCTTCCTGGGCTAGAGGTCCTGGTTCCTGGGATGGGGATACTGCTTCCATCGGGGTCATGGTAAGGGCTCTGCTGAACTTGAAACAAAACCTACCATGTAGTCAATGTGGGCTCCTTATGCCCATGGACTATCCAGCCAAGAAAAGATTGCAATATCAGCAAGGCAATTGATCCTGAGTGCATCAGGAGCTAGCGTTGCTGCTCTCCAAGGAGAACAAGAAGTATGTCTGCAACTCGGAGGATTCACTAGGGTGTCTCTCAGTATTTCATAAACAGACAATTGCACAATTATAACCTGACAAGGAGAAAGCAAGGAAAGGCTCAGATCTGTCATGGATAAAGATCTGGTTTAGGGGCCGGCCCTGTGGCGTAGGGGTTAAGTGCGTGCGCTCCACTGCTGGTGGCCCGGTGTGGGAGATCAAGATTTGGCCATCCTAAAATATATCTCTTTACCTTGATTGTTTTCTCTGCAGGACATTTGACCTCCCCCACTAACTGCCTAAAGAAATTTGACATGGTGGCTCCTTCCTGGAACAGATCTTCTATCATGATGGCTATAAAGATAATGTAGGATAGAGGTTACAATAGGAAAGGCACCAAGCCTCTTTTATCAAAAACTCTGTCTCTCCCTGACCACATTATCTATAGATGACCCTGAAAAGAATTGTCCTCCTGCCCTCTGAAG